GACTTTAGTTTTCATATGCCGAGGGCACAGAGGTTCCCAGTGGAATACCAGTGATGCCTGATGGAATACAAAAGATGGACCGGGATTATGCTTTGTGCTACTGACTGACCTTGACTTATGTTTTGACCCACATCCACACTCAATCACATGATTCTGTTTTGATCAATATAACTCAGGTGGGATGCACCAAAAGATGTGGCCAAATAGTGACTGTATCCCCTCTGAATATCTGCGTGTCTACACTTGTCCCGAGCACCACTGACTAGCTTTGTATAAGCTGGCCTCAATCAAGCTCAAAGGCACCATCCCTGTGAAAATAGTATTGATCATAACGAGCATCTATCCATGCATAAGAGCTTGTTTCAATTGATTTTTCCTATTTGAGCTGAAAAACATAATAGAGTTGATATGAATTACAGGGTGTTTTGCTTCAGTTCATCAACACAGCCCAAATAATACTTGCCGTTACCAGGGAAACATGATAACAGTTTTTGTCTGTTTTTCAACAATCAATTACTTTAATGCATTTATGCTGATATTTACACAGAAGCAAACAACACTCTGTATAAGTCAGCAACACAACAACTAGGCTGTTTGTGCGATAAACATATGGGGGACGTGAATGGTAGATGATCAACAACATTTCATTCCACTGCAAGAAAAAAATTATATCTTTGCTTACCACTAATGTTCAGCTACACGCAGCATAATACCGGCTGTTGACTAAATGCAGGTTACTGTCATGCTTTTGTTCTGCAACACTCCATCAAGTGTGGTGGCCTTTGCAGGTATAATATTCAGAATAAATACAATACGTTGTAATAAGCTACATAAAATAACTTGTTCAGCAAAAGTTTCTGCGCACTCCAAACTCTCCCAGTTGTCACGTTATGCTCTAAGATTTGCTGTCGCTAATTCCCAAGCTCAAGGCTGATCAGTGTTATTCTACTGACACTTCCCCTAAAGCCTTCTGACATTAAGCCTTTATAAGACAGTTATGGGTATTACATTGGTCTTGCAACATAAACTACTTTTTATTCCTTTACAATAGCGTTTAAATAAAATAGCTAAAGCAACAGATTAAACTCAATAGGCCAACAGGCTACCTCCATCCTTGTTAACAAGCAATTATTGTATTGTATCCTTGGAGTGTCTTCTGTAGGTTTTAGGCTTGGGGCCTTAATATTATTAAAATAGCCTAGGTGCAGTTTCATACAAGGAATACAATGATGTCCATTTACATTTATCTGACTGTCCCTGCCCAAATTTTTATCTATATCATTCTGAGCCAGATAAGACAGATAATAATATCACAATATGGAAAGATTTGCCCTGGATAGTTCGAAGGAAAAGAAAACAGGGAAAATCAACTTACACCCCCACTGCACAACCAAAACAGCCTATTGTAAAGCAGGTAAAGAGATTAAAGTCTGTGTTAAATCACAGGGTTACCTTGGGACAAAAGCTTGGCTGTGCTGACCCATCAACATGAAACTTTAAAATTAAAACATAAAAATAGGATTACTTTTTTTTAAATGCAGGGTTAAGGTCCTCATTTTAATTCACTGTCAGTCTAACAAAACTCCCGAATAAACAATCACTAAGTAATGCAACTTGATATTGTATAATTGCATGTTTTAGCATTTATTTTTATAGTATTTTTTCAAATATCTCTGGCACCTTGTATATAGAAATACAAAGATAAAAACAATTTAATATCAAAATTAAAGATATATTTTTAAAAATCAATAAAATAAGTTCTGTAAATCCAAAAGTTTTATTTAA